ACATAGATTTTTACTAGAAACTTATTTTCGTGGAACAAAATTTTTACCTATCTCCCCCCCTTTAGAAGTTATACCCCCCCAAAACCCTAAAAATGCCATTCTTTAACTATTTAGTGCAATGAAACCATAAGGATTTTTCAAATTTTGCAAACGCAGAAAGGCAGTGGCTTACTTCCCCTAGCGGGGTATACTAAAGGTTAACTTTAGAAAAACAAAATGGCCGCTCAAATTTACCGTTATCTAAAGTCCGTTTTTTCCAAATTTTTGATGTCGTTTATTTTCTAGACCCCAGCCTGTAGAAGCTTGAAATTTTATGGGCTTTTAGACATTAACAAATAGTTCATTTCGTTAGAAGAAAATTTTTTTCCATCTCCTTCCCCTCTCAAGTTATGGCCTCTTGAAATTTGTAAAATTTGAATTTTTGACACCTTATATTTCCGAAACCGCAAGCTTTTTCAAATTTCTATAAACATGAAAAGCTAACGGTAAATTCCATGAAATTAAAAAATATAATTATTTTTCTTAACTCACATAATTAAACCTTAAAATCGAGCATTATGTTAACCCCTTTTTATATTAATTTTTGCTTTATTTCAAACACTGCATATATGCGTCATCCTAAATATATGCAATTCTAGAAATAGTTTTGTATATGAATGAAAATAATTTTAATAGTTTGATAGGTATACATAGACTGTATTTAAAAGCAGAATTTTCACTTGCTGAAGGGAAAAGTGCTACAATACAAACCATTGGTTTGACCCAACTTTATTTAAAAATTAATTTATTTTCCGACAACATATTTGAAAAAAAAAATATGAGTAACATTTTTGTAATTTTGTTAGTTTTTTTTTGATTAATTAAAAATAAATAGAGCATAAATTTTATTAAAATTACAATCAAACAGTTTTAAGATTATTTTACAAAAGAAACCAAACGCATCTCAAGAGTGAAAATTAAATCAGGATTCAATCAATAATTGTGTCATAATCAGGATTCAGATTGGTAATCGTATTTATGTTATATTTTAAATATTTTAATATTTTTACCTTAAATTATTCCATAGTTAAATTAAACTAATTAACTAGTTAAATTAATTAACTTAACTAGTTTGGTTATCGTTTTAAATTTTACTTTGCTCTGGTCTAAATTAAATTTTGTGTTATTTTTTTTTTGTCTGAGGAAAGTTTGTTTTTTTAGATGTACAAAAAAATAAGCCTAAAATTTTGGTTTTAATTATTTAATATTAGAAATTTTGTCTGTCTTAGAATCACCCATTCTTGTAATAATCTTGGAATTTTCTTGATGTGCATGCATGTTAATCATCATGCACATATTTTGTAGACATCAGCGTTTCCAATTGCGTCATGATTTTACTTATACGGGTATATATATTTGCAACCCATGTACATACATATGTATGTTCATATATATATATATACATAAATGTGCACATATATTTATGCAATTGAAAATTCTTTTTTATTTTATTTTCTTTTCATATACATACTTCGTTTTTATTTATGGGAAATTCCTTTACGCATTACTTAAAATAACACGGTCTACAAAATCATAAACAAAATTGAAATATTATGTGTATGTATGTGCATAAGTATGTATATAGAGTAAATTTTTTAAAAAATATTTTTTTTTTTCATTGAAATTCGCAATGTAAAAGTAATAATTTATTCAATAATTTACAATTCATTCGATATCAATATAAAAGTATGTACACATATAGTGGAAAAAAATACAAGGGGAAAAACGATAAACGAATTAAATGAATGCATATTATACGAAATGAAGAAGAAAGGAAACCGAAATTTAAAACCACACGTCATAAAATAGAAATGACATGATATGTAAATTAACTTCAAGTCACGTAGCTTTATTTTGTTTTTTTTTTGAATACCTACAACCGAACTGATGGTAATTTTTTAAAAGTTTACTTCTATTTGATTTATCCAAACATGGTATAAAATATAAATTCTTTAGAATTCAAAAATGTATGTACGTAAATATACTCCGAAATAATTTCTTTGATAACCTAAGCCAAAATATGTATAAATAAATGCTTGTCATATTAAAAGAATTTCATACTTTATTTCCCAATATTGTTTTTTGGTCTATAACATGATGTAACAGGAAAATGGTCATTGAATTTATTTGCAATTACAATTACAGGCAAACAATGTATTTTATTTTGAGGACTTCATTTGTTATTGGTTTTGCTAAAATAATTTGACTAAGTAATAACTACTTAGTAATACTATATTTATAAGTATTTTAAGATTACGCATTACTAAGTCTAGTTTTGTATATAGGGAAAAAAGACTAGACTCATAAATAGTATGTGTTATGTTGTATGCATGTCGTCTTAGTGTCTTGTTTTTAGAACCTCAATTTTCGACAAAATTGGTTATGTATATATGTAAATGTACTACAAAATAATTCATAATAACTTTGTTTATTGATGCCATAGAAGCAAAATAATGAAGAAGACTGAATTGCTATTCTACTGCACCATTGGTTGAATATTAACGGCATAACGGTATTCTATATATTTTTCTAATATGAAACCTAGGATATGAATTTTATATTTGTTCGAAAGTAAGAATTATTTTTTAACATTCAAATTTTAAGTTAAGCTAAATCACACACACATTCTAAATATACATATGTAAGTATATCATATTTTTATAACTTCTGTTGAAATTTCTTGCAATTTTTTATCTTAGTATCAATTAAATATTTATATATTAAAGGTTTAAATGGCTTCGTAACTTATTGTGTTCTGTTCTCTTCTGACTTATTTAATCATTGATGGCTTGCTGTTATAAATAACGCCTGTTCGAAAAGTAATTTTAATATTGTGTATAATTATATAAATATTGTATATAATGTATGTATCTATTTTATAGAATTACTTATATGCTTCTCGAGTTGCCAGTATAGTTGTAAAAAATAGTGAAACTAGTTTCCTTTAAAGATCCGCTTGAAAAAATCAAAAACAAGTTAAGGAGGAAATTGCGTCTATTTACTTATAATACTAACACAAATTACAAGTTTACTTTAGAAAAAAAATGTAAAAATTGAATACACATTCTCATACTTATAGTATTATATTTGTAATGTTTTATAAATTAATCATTTATAATACAATTTATGTATTTGCGGTGAATCTTCTAGATCTTTGCAAGAAATTTTTGAAATTTTTTGAATTTCACATATTATTTTCTCATGGTAATTTTTCTTATTGTTTTTATCTCTTTTATAGGTATAGGAGAATGTATAAATGATAGTGCATATTTTGAATTCCTATAATATTTTGTAAAACAATTAAAATACATTTTTTTTTTTATTTTTTTGATATGAAATAGTGTTCTCGTCCGTCTGCATAATCCAAAGTCCATTTGATTTAAAAATTTTTTAAAAATACCGGGTAGAGATTTTCTTAATAATACAAGCTGCCATTATATACCCAACTTTCTAATACAGTCTGCTATTATTAACCTTGATTGAAAAGCAATGAAGGCTTGCCTTTAACTATTTATGCATAATATCAAATATTTGAATTTAAATATAAAATTTGTTTCAATTACCTACATGTACATAATCACGAAAATTTCACCAAATTTGTATCGTATGGAATTTGGACACACGCTAATGGAAATTTTCTCATACCACTGTAGAAGAGATGGAGGACGTAATTAAAGGAACGAGTTAGAGGCAGAAAAATTAAAAAAATTTTCTCCTCGAACTGGACTCGAGGAGTTATTTTATATTTTTTCATGAACAGTAGACTTACATTATTTCAATTATATTAGTATATTTTGATATCAGTGATCACAGGGAAGTTGTAGAAAAACAGCAGATTTGTGCTAATTGGGGTGCGATGGACCTGTTACACTTGTCACTTCAACCAAACAACCAACTCCATTTAGATTTTAATATTTTAATAATTTTGATTTTTGCCAATTTCCCCTACGAAAATTTTTTCTTTTCTATTAATTTTCAAAGAAAATTTTTTCACTCAACTTTTTTCAACAATTTCTTTAGTTTATTTGATTACATTAGAGTGTTTGGGTGGCAAATACTTTTTTTTTGCATAAAACTAGTTTTTTTTTGTGCTTTTCATATGATATAAAGAAATAAAAGTATAAAAACAAAAAAAAAAAAAATAAAATGTTTTTGGCGACCTAAATGTAACACCAATGAGCCATTGATGCAGCACTACACAAGAAATGTGTGAATGTTTTTAATTTTTTTTTTTTTTGCATATTGTTTGCAATTTTATTATTTTTCTTTTCTTTTATTTAAATTTTTTTTATTTTAACTGGTTTTTTGTTTACATTTTTTTTCGTACGTTATCATTTTGGTTTCGTTATTTTTCTTTTTTAGACAGAATGCGTTTCTTCGCGATCTTTCTACGTACTACATTTATATTTAACGATTTGGTTTAATAACGATCATTTTATTATTTACTCAATATACTCTTACTAACATATTAAGCTTAATATATACATATGTATACGCATGTACATAGGTATGTTCAATATTACATACCTACTTATATTTTTGCATGCCTTGAATTGCAATTTGATTTTATATATAAAAATATAAAGTTTTTAAAATTTTTAAGTCAGATTTATTCAGACCGTTAAAGAGTTGAAAAGTATATTTATTAAAACATTAAATAAAGAAAGTTAAAAGTAATAAAATTTTTTTTATTATAAAAGTAATTAAAAAAGTGAATTTCAATATAATTAGTAAAAAATAATAAAATAAAAGAAATAAAAGAGAAAATTATTTTTATTATTCTTGAAAATAAAGAATTTCCAAAAAAAAAATACGTACAGTTAAGAAACACTAACAGTATAACAGTTTTTGACAATTAACTAAAATTAAAAGTACCCCAATATTTTAATTATTAATTTGTGCTAAACTATATGTATAAAATGAATTCAATAACAATAATTTGTATTACATTATTAATTTGTATGAATTTAATTGGTAATGGTTATCCTTTACCAGTTGATTATTATGATGATTTGGCTAATAATATGGCAGAATTATTCGATGATATTAGTTTTGATGAATCATATGCACGTGATGTTAAAAATGATTCATATGAACGTTGTAAATTACCAATGCGTAAAGGTGTTTGTCGTGCTATAATGCCACGATGGAGTTATGATCCAATAGCAAAGAAATGCCGTGAATTTATGTTTGGTGGATGTGGTGGAAATGCAAATAATTTCTTAACAGAAAGTCAATGTTATCAGGCTTGTAAAGGTGTTTAATTTTCAATAAATTTAGAAAAAGAAGAAAAAAATATATATTTTATACTATAAGTATATCTAAATGTATATAAAAAAAATTTACCAAAAATTTTGTAAAACAAATTAAGTAATTATGTAAAAATATGAAATTAGTAATCCTTTATATGAAATTTGTAAGAGTAATCGATATTACAATTATTCTATAGAAATGCATATAGTAAAGGATATAGATAAGTCTTATTAATTTTTATGTGATATTTTTAGTATTGAATTTATTTAAAATTATTATTTTTAAAAATATTTTTTTTTTTAAATTGTTATACTCGTAAAATTATTCCGTATACATAAATAATTTTGTATTTTGCATAAAATTTGGAAAATATAATTTTTAATTTAAATTAATAAAATTGAACTGAGAGGGGTTTTGTTAAAAATTTTAATGACACACGGCAAATATTTATTTCTGTATAACAATATCAGTTATGCTTTAGGCTTTATTTATACTTTGTATTGTATTTTAATGTAATTATATATGCCACTTTATATATAATAATATGCCTAGAATATACAAAAACAAAAATATTATATTTAAATATAACGTTTAAGTTATATACACATGTATATTAAAAATCAATAACTTGTTAAAAAAAATATAATAAAATTAAGAAAATGCATAAAAGTAAAAATATTTTTGGTTTTTATTCAAAGTCTCTTCTATATATGCGTCCAACGTTTTGCATATCTTTTCGTAATAATTCACATTATTAATACAAACGATTATTAAGCCGTTTTAGTTTATACATAATAATATTTATATATAATTTATAAATATTTACATACATACAGAATTATATCTATATGTTTATGCGTATACATATATATGTACATTGCATAAAATGTTTTAATTTGGATAATGTCATTTGAAATTTACTCAAAAATAAATTGAAATTTGTTGAAAATTCATTTGTTGATTTTGAAACGAAATTATTTACGTGCTTATTAAATATTACGTGATATAGAGTATCACGTATAACGTAAAGTATTTTATTTTCTATTTAGGAGACTAGCTTTATTAATTATGTATTAAATTTTGTTAGAAAAACAATATTTAATACATGGTTTGCACAATATATGTTGCAAAAAATAATATGTACATACATAATATGTAATTAAAATAAAAAAAATTAATAATAATTATTAATCATTATCAGCAAAATATAAGTTTAAGTTTAGTAGTAAAATAAGGGGTGAATTACTTTTAGAATTTTTAATAGGGGCTGGTAACCCACTTTCATTACTAAAAATCGGCAAGAGTTTTTGGATATAATCCTTGCCTCCAAAATGATCGCTGGGATGGTCTGAATTGAAAAGTCTCGCAAGATCATTCCTTTTCTGACCATCGGTATATATATTTAGAATTGACTGCTCAGCAGAATCCTACACGGACTTTCAGAAAACGCAAAAGAACTGATTGGTCAAAGTACAGAGATTCACTAAGCGATCTCCTGGGGAGCGATACTGCAACTTATCCCAGCACTACCAGAGAACTTGACGGGCTGGTTGACACACTCACGGAGGCTATGAACAATGTTTCCAGATTACCGTGCCGTTCAACTCGACTAAGATGAAAACGAAAACCGCAATGGTGGACTGTGGAGTTGGGCGCCCTATGAAAACGCTGTAGGACCCAATTCAACAAAGTAAAGCGAATCAGAGAATCAAGCGACTGACACGTATATAACGATAATCTCAAGGTGTACGAAAGTGAGCTGAGGAAGGCGCAAAAACTCTCCTGGAAGACCTTCTGCGGAGAAATCTGCAAGACCGTGAAGGCATCGAGACTAAGAAGCAGTCCACTGTGTGGACTTAACTTACATTTCAAAGATCTGGAATGTGGCTAAAGTGGTCTTCATTCCTAAGGCTGGGAAGAGCTCTCATAGCTCCCCAAAGGACCCTACACCGATTAGTCTAACATCATTTCTATAAAAAATCCTGGAAAATTTGCTAGACGAACACATACGGAAAAACTTAGATCCGAATCTATTGTTCTCGGTATAACATGCGCACTGCAAGGTCAAGTCGATGGAGGCGCCTTTGTATTCACTTGTATGCTACTTAGAGCGATCCCTGAACAGAAGGAAGTACACTATCATTGCCTTTTTAGATATTAAAGGGGTCTTCAATAACTTCATCTAGCGCGCAATCAATTCTGCATTGACAGACACGTCGATTCATGAGTCCTTGGCGTTTCTGATAGAACACATGCTGTTAGGCAGGACTATCAGGGCACATTTTGAGGGATCATGCATCGAGCGGTATGTTGGAAGTGGCACTCCTCAGGGGGCGTGCTATCCCCTCTTCTTGTAGTAAATCAACTTTTGCTACGCCTCGAAGAGGAGAGATACAAAGTGGTTGCTTACGCCGACTTCACGCTCTAAATGGGCTGATTCAGAAAGTCCTTAATCTCGTCTCTGACTGGGCCGCCTGCTGCCGTTATTCTTCCCAATATGCGATATTTTTATTTTTTTTTTTTACTTTAACATAAAAAAGAAACACAAATTCAAATATTCAAAATTTACTTAGCATATTAATAAAGGTTTCCAAAAAAGCACATTACACCAATTATATACATGTAATATATTATTTATGCTATAAACATACTTAGAACTATTTCAACAGCAGCAATTCTTATGTTTATTTGCTTTTTTTAATCAACTTTTTTTTATTTTATTATTCATAAGTATACATACATATATTATGTTGTAGGTATAGTTTTACAGTTGAAATTGACTCAATTCAATTAACATAGGATTTTCAATAATTTAATGAAATTTAAATTTTAAAAATTTAAATCTCATAAATATTGCTGCTATATTGTGTAAAAAATATATGGGATTATAAAAATTCAATCAGCACCAATGTAATTCATTTATTTTATCTGTTTAATTCAATTATCACATTTTCACTAACACTGTAATATATTAAAACACCCATCTGCTTAATATAACATTGAATATCTATCCCTTTCCCTTAAATTATAATAATATATAATAAGTATTGTATACAAACGTTGTAGAGATACAGTGATTCTTCAGATTACGTAAGCTGTGTTATTTAAATTGTTTGTGTAACTTAAACGAAAAGACTTAAAAGTGTTTTTGTTAAACAGTATGTTCGATGCAACATATATTTCATACAGTTTGAGCTTGTTTATATGAATGCATTTGACATATGAAATACATTAAACACCTGGCTAAATTTTTATTATTATACTTTTTTTTGAAAATTTAAATACGTTTTAAATAAAATGATTTTTAATGCTATGCGTATAAATGAAAGTGACACGCGGCGAAAGATTGGTACATCAAAATTTATATTAGTATATACATACATTTTGTATTATGTCTGTAGAGATTGCAGTGCGGCAGCAGATTTTGAATTCGACTTTTGAATTCCAAAGCGGACGATGGTTAAACTAAAAAATATTCGCATGCCACGCTTATTTAGATTTCGACACTACCACGAATACTTAAGACACTCTTGATAATCAAAAACATCACTTCGCGTATCTTTAAGACGCCGAATGAACTATATTTTATGAAATTTAATTATAGAATGAATTAATATATGAAATATTAATGCCAAATATAAAATTTTATTTAAAAAATTATAATTTGTACAATTGCAAAATAATATTTTCTTTATTGAATTTTGTTCTACGTTCCGAGTTAATATAGAGGAATTTCTGTACTTAACCTAAAATAATATTTAACTGAGTATTTACATGTGTTTAAGTGTTTGTGGGAAAAAATGTAACAGAAAAAGATATTTTGTAATGTTCACACATTCGGCGCGATTAGTTTCATTCTGATGTCAATATTATCTTGATTTTAAGAACTTTGAAGTGGTCATTTACAAAATAACATGGAATTCGAAAACAAAAAGGTAAAATAGAAGGAAATATAAAAATGTATAAAAACAAAAGGAATAATACCATACATACATATACATATACACAAAAAATATATTTACATTTAAGGACTCATTCATGCATATACACACAAACAAACATATATTATGTAATATCCTTCCATTCAATATCAAAAATCTATTTTGGCAGTCTTAACTTCCCATAAAAATATTATATAGAGAAAAAAAAGTGAAAAAAAAAAACAAAAAGATGGTATACGTATGAAGAAAATTAAATAAGAGAAAGGATGTTAAAATATATAAAAAAAAAAATTGAAAATATTGAAAGGGAGAAAAAGGCTTTACCGTACCGGGACATTAAATGACATTGGTTAACACTATCAAGATATCTTTTTTTTTTATATTTGCTTTTTTCTGTCTTCCTCCTCCGTTGCTTTACATATGAGAAGCTGTTGTTTTTGTTATGTCCCTATTTGTTCAATAAAATATCAATTTTTATATCCTTTCGGTTTGATATTAATCTATGCTTTTATTGATATAGCTACATTTGTGTATATATACCTTGCATATACTTATATTAATTTGTAGTATGGTATAATATGTATAGAACTATTTAACAATATTTACATTATAATTCGATGATTTTTCATAGAATTCTTTGTATACGTTTTCGAGCCCATACGTATATTTACATATAAATATTGTATGGCGTATAAAATGATGTTCTCTTTTTTTGTTTACGAATTGATGTGGACACCTAAAAATCCTCTCGTTTACTAATAGTTGTAATAATATCAAAATGGTTGTATATAATATATGCGTTATAAATATACTTGATTCTCGATATCAAAATAAATTCTATGAAGAAAAAACAAAACGGAAAACGAAAAATTACGGAATAAATATGAAGGCAAGACAAAAAAGTAAGAAGAATAATAAAAAAAAAGATGAAAAAATAGAAAAAAAAAGATGCAGAAATTGATTATTTAACATCATGGGAATAAAATTTGCTACCATCTCGATTACTTTCTCATTTCTTTATTATATATAGATAAACATTATAGATACATGAATATTTTTTGGGTACATGTATGTATATATGCACATATTTAGCAAATTTTCCAGTATATACACAGTATATACATAAAATACAAGATAATAT